CATTTCCACCCATGGAAACTGCATGAAAGGTTGAGCCGCCCTTCAAAGTGACGGCAACGCCTCGATTCTGTTGCCATACCTGCCTACACTGGTCAGAGCTGTCTAGAGGTCCGCTAGTAGCAACGACAACAAGAGGGGCTTGCGTAGCGATTTTTCGGAGAGAACTGCTGTACAGTTTCTGACATGGGAAGTTTGTTTTATAATTACTACTTCGAGGGACAGACATGGACGAATCAAACAGCCACCAAAACGACAGCGTGTTCCCGATAGACTCATGTACCAGGCAGAAGAGAGCACGGGGAACCTCGAACAGTATGACCTCATCCTTCTCACTTGGTAACCCCCTGCCACATCGGATATCAAGGCTCCACGGCACTGGACGTGCAGCCACGCCATGGACGGTCACCAGTTTATCATTGCCCAGACGGACCTGAGGCTGATTCCTCATTTCCGAAAAGATGTCATCGTGCAGACAAGCTAAAGGATTGGCTACCATGTACAGACTCCGAAGATTTTTCAAACCTTGAAACGCCTTAGGAGGAAAGCTCTCAATACGGTTGGAACCAAGGTACAGGTAATGAAGGGAATTTCTCACAGGGAAACAGTCAAGGCTAATAGCTTTTAGCAAGTTGTTTTCAAGTTGAAGAATACGAAGGTCGGGGAGGCCCACAAAGCTGCCTGCGTCGACCTTCACAATTTGGTTATTAGACAAGACTAGTCTGCGAAGCCTCCTCAAATCTCTGAACCAGGCCTCTTTGACATGTACCAGCCTGTTGAAGTCCAGGTCCAAATTAATGAGAATAGTGAAGCCTGTCATGGTATTCTCTTCTATATCTGTAATCTTGCAATGTTGCAGGGCTAGAGACTCAAGAATGAAGGGATCCAGACGTGCTAGTTGACTGGCCGAGAGAACATGGAATGGGTAGCCTTTGATGGCGAGAGCCACAGGGGTGCCACGCTGGCAGGCCACAGCTGATGTCCGAGTTTGATTCTCAGTAGTATCTAACTCATTGCATAAGATACACTTCGCAGCATTCGGACGTACAAAGGTGTGCTTTTGCTTACATGTTGACCAGCCGGCTTCCCTGCATTGGGGCAAGCACAGGCCTTCGGAAGCTACACAGGCAGCTATAAGAGGCAGGAAAAATAGAATAGCAAGGATTGTCTTTCTAGCTGTCACAAGATAGCAAAAAATAACCTTAGAAAACAACATGTCTGCACCGTCAAATTTTCCTCTTGTTCTTGGCCGGGGAATCTTGGTTATGGGTTGAGGTCTTCAGGGCAAACTGGTGACGGCTGACTCAAACTAGACTGTCTGTACCCTGTGGGTATGGAAAATAAAAAGCAGGTAACATGGTGCATATCTTCACATGTTCGTAGTTGTGCTAAGTTAACATACTATATCCGTCTTTTCTTGGAGTTACAGCAGAAATAAAGAAGCAAACCAACATTTGCGAGTCAATGCACGATATTTCACCCCGATTATTGCTCAATATACATGTAATCATTATATTAAGTTTATTATTCATTCTATAAAATCAACTTTCAAGACAGGATTGTCTAGATAATATTTCAGAATCACTTGTGTTGATTAATCCCAATTACATATCTCGTTATTATGTCATGAAATCTACACCAAAGTCTACATTTCTGCGTAAACATGAAACTAAAACCTCTGTGTCCATAAAATTATTGTGCAGGATCACATTTAATAAAACATTACAGAGTGTCTATCTATAGCGTCTATCCTAGTGTGTAGTGCAAAGCTACCTAACATGTAGATGAATGGCTCTTGAGTCTTATGTCGTCACACACGAGGCCAAAATATTAATGGCGTTGGGTTTGTTTAGGTTAACAAAATTTGGTGCATTTTTCTAATGGATTCATTATGGGTAGGAATGGGTTGCTAATGGATTCAAAGCCTAATCGTGGCAGTCACTGATATTATTCCTAGACGTAAGATACTATAAAAAAATCAGCAAAAGAATGTCTCCCAACGTACAACGTCCATACGCACTAGTTTGATGACAAATTCTGAACTTACCTTTCGAGACTTTGCTCCTTCTTCACAGAAGTCAAATGGATGTTGACGAGTCGTCATCAAGAGAAGAGATATAAGTGTCTGGTCACTGTTCGTCGCCCAACAGCGCGGCTCAGACATGCGACCTCGTCTGTGTCTACGCACCAGTGAAAGCGTCACGGAACTAAGAATCTATTTAGGTCATCACAACGGTGTCAAGCCGTATACATGATCCTGCCAAATACCTGACTCCGACACAACTTGGGAGTTTCCAATATAGCTCAGAGGCAAGCTGGTGGGAGGGGTTTGGTCGTGATGTGGGAGACTAAACCTACATGTAACCTAACACCATTCGTAAGTGTAACACGTGCCCTAGCCCGGAACAATGACCCCAACTCTAACCCTAACTGTAATACCAACCCTGGCCCTAACCATAGCTCTAAACACGTGACCTCTCACGTATGTGGCAGCTCAAGGATTTGGCTTGACAACGGAAACGTACAGGTAGACTAATATTGTCACATAATGCCGGTTGAAGAATGTTTAATTTTTGGCGGATGGTTCAGATACCAAACCTAGTCTATTGCCTTGGCCTCGTCTACAACCGCAGCCTATTTTACACAAGTGTACTCTACATGCGCACTAAAACATTAAATGACCACGTCCCGTTTTAAGGAGTCATCCTCGTTTATTTTGCAGGAAAAAAGCAGAAGCTTTAGACCACAGTCTCGAGAGAATTTCTAACTGTTGAATTTAGTGAATGATCTATTATCCTGTGACATGATTGCTGATTTCTTAGTATCTTCGTTAATCCATGCATGAATAGAATGTCGTTATTGTATTTGTTTTCAGCAGAACCCACAAAATGCAACTGGCAAAGCCTTAAGGTATCTGGTACTTGATTGCACATGCTATTTACAAAACAATAATTACATTTATCATTATTATGATTTTGTAACTGTCACATTGTTACATTTGGTTGAGTTAATTTATAATTTATGAATCGAACTTTTTTCATGAAATGTACATCCTGTCAAAACAATACTTATATCTATCATCGTTATGATTTAATAACTGTCCATCGTTACATTTTGTTGACTTATAGTAAATGTCTCTTGACAACTGTACTTGACGTATAGTTAAGACCTTTTTCATTGCACCTGATTTGTTTTGTTTGTATAATCCCATGATCATGATAAAGCCTACAACAACTATGAAAGCTCAAAAGCTGGCACAATAGCAGAACTCAAACTTTTTCCGGATGCTTTGCTTTTAGTTGAGACACAGAATGCCCGCCTAAACAAAGTTGGCGTAGGTGTCAAAACCCTTCAGGTACTCAATCACCAGGTGATGACAGCACTCGTACGACGCCTAGCGAGAGAGAACCGAATTGTTTGGTATATGTTAAGTTGTCAGTTTATTTATTCATTTAGTACATCTTTGCTGATTTCCAAGGGGAGGGGGCAGTGAACGAGAAAACGATACAACATGAAAAAACAAAATACATAACATAACACGGCACAAAAATTAGTAACACTGAGAACCAAAACAGATAACAACTTTAAAGTAGTACAGCTAAACAAACAAATAAACAAACAAACAAACGTCAATGTTATGAATGATAGAGCAAAGAGACTGGCTGAGCATTTTTTGTTGACAGGTTGTCTACCAATTTGGTTCATTAAGAAGAGAGAAAACTGACCGCGTCGTTAACCATGGTTGGGCGGCAGGCACGGACAGTCTTGACCGCCTGGAAGATGTCCACGACCTGCTCCACCTTCACCCGCTCACAGGCCACGCTCAGGGCACAGAACACCCCGCTCCGCTCCACACCGTCACTGGGGGACACAGGCAATAAAAGAACAATCGTGAATAATTGCTTTAGGTTGGTGATTAATGAAATAGCCAATTTTTAAAATTATTCACAACCACTTGTTTAACAAGAGTCAACGTGTCGATAACCGTCTGTCATCTTTATCAGGCAATTATGACTTGTTCTATGTGTGCTGACTCTATAGCAACTCCATAGCCTCTCTACTTTACTTTACCCTACTCAACTCAAGCCAGGTGTTACTGGTAACAATGTAGTCTTAAACGTTAAGTAATTGTGTCAGACATTGAATTTGACATTGAATGCGGTTTCAAATGTCAAGTATTGTTATATACAATTTATATTGTCTACCAACGATTCTGAGAAACGCAGTGCCAAATGCAAAGTATTGCCACATACATATTGTTGAAAAGAGCTATCATTCGGTCTTTCTTTCCCATTGTAGTGAAATATGGTGTAGAATTGCATAGATTTGGGATACAAACAGCCGGACCATCCTTTGGCATACAGATATTAGATGGAGCTTGATACTTTATGCCATGTCTGTAGTTGTTACATCTGTAAGGTAAAGTAAGAACAGTTGTACGTACATGCAGTGCACGACGATAGGCTCGTTCCCAGTCTGTTGCTGCCACCTCTCCACCTCACTCAGCAGAGCTATCATGGCGGCCTGGCACGGGGAGGGCGGGGTCTTCTCGTCACGTGGCCAGCCCGTCAGCTGGAAGATCTTCACCGTACGGGCGGCTTCAGTGCTCTGAATGGGACGTGCAAGTGTCAATGACTTAACTCAATCCTAGCATTGTAAATGTGTACATTAGACAAAAAATTGGACTTGACCTCTTGACTTTGCATCATTGACATTAAGTACAGACGTATGCCGCCGACGTTGGTTTTCATTAATATTGTTAATTTCGCAGTCAACATCAGTTCAAGATCTAATATATGAAATCTAATATATGCCAAGATCATTCCATAGATGCAGTGTTTTACACAATCGAAAAGGAATAGAGAAGCAAGAAGTTCGCAAAACTGGTAACTTCTACTTCAGAATGTGTAAACGCTTGGCGTGAGATATTACTACTATAAAGTTGGTAAAAAATCTGTAAAAAAAATTACAAATGTGTCAGCAATTGTTCGACTAACTCATTTGTTTCTGTATCAGCCAGAATTTATCAGCAATTGTTTGATTAATTCCTCTTTTTCTATATCAGCAACAGTTCACAAGACTGCAGTTGTACCTTGAGTGTGTTCTGCAGCTTGAGGGTCCTGATGACGAGGTTTCCGTCCTCAGACACATCCACGTGACTGGTGAGGAACATGCCGTGCTGCTCTGGCTGGTGAGGACCAGGCCAGTAACGTGGGCACGTCTGCAAACAGGTGATCAAATATCAGAGTGTTCAATTGACACAAGTGCAACTGTGTGACCTATACTCTTGAACTGATTAACATAATTAATTAACCATCAGTAACGGCTTCCATCGAAACCTTTGGAGACAAAAAAGTCAGACAAGGAGTCGACCTATGCAACAAGGTTGCGGGACGATCTAAGGTCTAAGGTAAGGTAAACGGCTTCCATCACCAAACACTTGAATGTAGAGTAACCTAAGGAACAATTGTTTGAACAAAAATGAATGCGTAATCTTGCGGTGCATACAAATGTTGTCCACAGTGTACAATGATTTGTGGAAGCTTCTAGAAGTCGCTACAGGTGTCCCTATTTTACTAAAATAAAAATTATCTTTGGATAAATAAATCTGTTGTACGTATAAGCGTGTGTCCATGTAAGTGAATTGATGGAGTATTTACCGGGTCGTCCATATCGTTCAGCATGATGACAGAGGAGATCCTGTAGTCATACACCAGGCGCCACATGTCCAGGACAGTGTTGGGGAGGGGGGCCTGGGTAGCGATGTACACGTCACGCTGCTTGTAGCCCTGGGTGAAAGGTCAAGTTTCATGTATTTGTGTATTTAAGGCATTTTGATGTCTCAAAGTCACTACCTTCAATACTGTACAACGCACAACTTCAAATTAAAATTTCAAGTGACATTATATCTACCGTAAACTCACATTGATGAAGGCGGCGTTGATGTAGTTAGTACCGGTCTCGTCACCAGGGGACATCAGGAAAGGTCGCGCTCGGTCAGCTGAAAAATAAGTTCAACCATTGTTATGTCCTTCGTTGTATGTAGTCCTTGGTGACATCTGTAGTGTGTATAGAATGCATCAGATTTACAAGTTGTGAAAGTTGCTAAATTCAATGCAACACATTTTGCCAGCTGTAATACCCATGATCGGCGTAGCCAGGTATTAAGATTTGTTAAGAAAAGCGTTATCTGTCTTACATGGGAGATCATTGATGTGGCGGTTCTTGTTCCTGTTCTCAGGGGCGCGGCCATCCCGGCATTCCTTGGGGTTGATGATCGGGGTGAGGGAGCGAAGTGCCTAGGGGAACAAGTGAAAATGTAAGTTCATGAATCTTAAGTTTCTATCTAGGAGAGAGAGAGAGGGACAGAGAGAGAAAGAGAGAGGAAGAGAGAGTGATAGAAGCTTGAATTGTGCCTCCACACATTTGCTGATGTGCACGAAAATTGCCCCTAAATTTGTGCCTTCAAAAAGGGCATTACTAAGCTCATTCCTACATAACTAATACAAAATTAAACAAAAAAAGTATTTGATAGTTCTTGATTCACAAAATCGATTGTTCTATTTCTCGGTGTGGCGAAATTATACAAAAATAACCTACTATAAACTGAATCATGAGCTCGGACGGTTCCCCAGTGCGAGGTTTCTTCCTGAGAGTCTGGAACCTGAACCTGAACTGATCAGACGGCACGGCCGTGTCTCCACACACTATGGCCTCGAGCAGGGCGTCATAGATGAAGATGTACTGCTCCTGTAGAAGAACATATATGTGATGTGATGTAGGAATAGTGATGCCGAGATATTAGTGATGTAAATATTAATAGTGATGATGACACTATTAGGTTCAATGAAACAAGAAATGCTTTTTAGAAAGCTGAGCAGAGGCCAAGATGGACATGGCTGGTTGGGTGATGTGACTCAAATAATTGAGGTGTGACTCAAATAATTGGTCATATGACTTGAATAGGACTAATTCTAATACGATTGGACGAGTAACATCACAACATCACAAACTCATTGTGTCTTTCAAAACCACTGGTACAACTTTGTGTGCAACCTCCATTTTGTATGTGCTCTGATAGGACACTACTTACATGTCCACAAACAAGAGGTTTATTTTAATAGAATGTTATCTGTAATATGTTAAAAGTTGTAACGTACCGAGGTCTGCACCATGTTGATCCGTTGTTCCCTCAGCTGGTTAACAGAGTTGAAGATGTCCACCAGCTCCTCTTCTTTGAACATCTCCATCATCATATCCAGCATGATGAACGTCCCCGTACGGCCAACACCGGCACTGCAGAACAAATGTTGAAGTACTAGCCTCCTTCGCAGACTTGTGGGCGGCGGTGTTAATTTGGGGGGGGGGGCGACGCGAGTTATACCGCGGAGGGACGGTTTTGACTTTGCCGGGGAGAGACGGTTTCGCCGCCTAACAGGCGCCTATCATAACTCGCATCGCTACCCGAAAAAAAATTAACGCCGCCGCCCACAAGTCTGTGAAGGAGGCTAAGTCAATAGTGCCTAGAGTCATACAGCTATGTTTCAAAGGTCCAATATGTTCCAATATGTTCGTCAACATTGTCGCCATCCTCTACCTCCTTAGCTCACCTGCAGTGCACGATGATGGGTCCAGACTCAGGTGTGACATGTTCCTTCACCTTGTTGCGCAGGGCCATGAGCGGCGAGGCGTAGGTCGGCACCCCATGGTCAGGCCAGGCCGTGAACTGGTATTGGTAGATCTCATGGAAGTTTGTATTATCCGAAGCCTGCAAATCATAGTGACATTGATATTTGCGTTGTAGTCTTTCTAACTAGAATGCATTCCGGTAACAGTGGAATAGTATCCATCACATTTAACTTAATGCACTCAACACCACTGTTAAATCTGCGAGTCATAATTATGTTTAGGGAATACCTGAAACAGGTGAAATTTCCTCATGGTAAAGTCCGTGTAGATGTCCTCCCTCATACAGGTTACACCAAAGTCACCATACTCTTGTGTATGGGTGTTGCCTGGCCAGTAACGCTCACATTTAACCTATTAGAAGAAAAACAGTAATCAAAAACACGTAAAAATGTACAAGATATTTTTAAAAAGTTAATTACAATTGTGTAAAATATAGAAATGGAAAAATGGTCCCCTGCAAGGGAATACAAAATATATACCTTTTTCTTTATACCAACATGTAACCACCAGACGTGGTGACGACACACTCAATTTTTTTTCAACTAATATATTAATGCTCATTTTCACTTGAGCGAAATGAGGAAAGTCCCAAGGGCACAAGATCGGTGGCATGTCAGGACTCGAACCCGGGACCTCTAGGTTCCGAGCCGCGCACTCTGCCGCTACGCCACACGACCACCACCGTAAAACCGAAATATATACCTTGTTGTTCTCCATCAGGTTGGTAACCATGACAATACATGGAGACTTCTCCTGCCATGCCATACGCCACAGGTCTGCAATGGTGGCCTTGTTGGGGCCTACATTGGGGATATAAACGGAGCAGCATGTTCAAATGCCCTACAGTGAAACGTATCGTCATATCAAAAGCCAACACCGGTAGATTTATGGACAGTTAGCTTTCTGTTGCCACATGTATCACAGCTTTCAGTCGCTAGATGAAGTAGACATTCTTTAAGCAAGGCTAGGAATTAGAACTGTTTGTTCACCTACCTTGAGCTGCAATGTACATCCTCTCTTTCTTATATCCCTGTAAACACAGATTATGCTGATTAGGTTTACTTTTGGAAGACTTATTTCAAGATTTTAGAGATTGTTTGGATCATGGCGATCTTTGTTGCCCTAAGGAATAGTGTTCACTGCTTAGAAGTTAGAGGAAATCCTCGCTAATGTTGTTACTCGTACCTTGATGTAGCTTGCGTTGATATAGTCTGATGATGGGTCACAGCCGATCACAACTCGGGAGTGGTCATCTGTGTGACGGTATAAGAATACAACATTGTGTTTACAAAGACCAACATGAGAGTGTATGGAAAGGATTTCCATTATCTCATTGCCCTTTGAGGAATTAACTGTATCGTGCATGATAGATCTAGAGTATCCATGTACTGTAGATCACATGATAGACTAGACAGAAAACAGTACCACAAAACACAATTTCTTCGGAACAAAAGTTTTGTATTTTTAACGTTTAACAGGGAAGTGGTCAAGTATAATCATCTTACATGTGACGATGTTTCCGTATCTGTTCTTCTTCTTGTTGTACACCTGTCTGGCCACGTCCCAGGGGTGCAGCTGGCCGTCACGGAGAGCCTATATAGAAAAATGGTATCACACATGTATAATCTTTTCAGGTACATTCTTATATCTTTACTTTCAGGTACGGAAGTATTGTTTTGGTAGGGTGACCCGTGGATAGCTATAGGTTGACATCACGTGGGTGTGGAGGAAAAGATTGACAAAGGTCAGAGGTCTCAAAATATGGCCCTAAGCCTGCCAGGATCAGAAGTCAGGGGGGATTCAGGAAGCCGAGGATCTAGGATTGCATGCTTCCCGGAAGTCTGAAATCTCCAGGATAGCGTAATCCTGCAACCTCTTATGTCGTTCAATATAAAAAAACAACACTTGTTATTTTAAACTATGTTTATAAACGTCTCTAACCTTGTACTCTGCCTTGAATCCTGCGTCAGAGTTAGCATGTTGTTTCTTGACGTATTCTACTAGCTGGTCCAGCGGGACAGGGCCGTACGGAACGGGAGGGGGAGAGGCAGGAGCCGGCACGTCGTCATATGCGGGATCCTGGATATGTTCCTCCACAGCAGCGTCTGGAAGAAATGTAGCTATTATAACTTGTAATAAAAAAATAAAAAACAAGAAAGGTAACATTTGCAAAGCAAGTTCACAATGTTTACCATTGCATATGGTCTGATCTGTTTTAACAAAGTTAAAATTCTTACTCAAACTCATTCATATATATGGCGACAGGAGTCTAAATCCATCCTGCTATAAAATTGCAACATGATGTAACCCAACACCAGTTACCATGGAAACAGACATCTGGTTCTGGTCATTTATCTTTGGAACGGAAGAGGCAACAGAGCAAAAACAATATGTTTTCCTTCGGTAATCATAAAAATATCAGCGCTGTCCATATTTTTCTGTAAAACACAAAAGAAGGATGTGCCTTATCTGGAGTACAAAACAGTGGCTAATTTTCAGGACATTACCTTCTCGTGATTCCTCCTTCGGTTGTCTAGTGGGCAACTGTGACATTGGCACACTTGGTGGTGGTGTCCTGGTGGAGCCTTCTTTTCCATGACGCCTGAAAGGGATTTGATGACATGAATGGCGTAACTGTATGTGGTGATGAATTCCAAGCAATGTCGTGTATAATTTGTGAAGTCTAAAAAAGTAATGGCACAATAAACGGTATGAAACGTAAGCGACAACATGTTTAGAATATATAGCGGTAACCCGTCAGATATTCTGATACATACCTGCGCCAGAAGAAAAAGATGACGACTGCTACCAACACAAGAATAACAGCAACACTTCCTCCTGCTGCGCCGGCAATTAGACCCACAGATGGACCTGGAACGAAATAATGAATGGACTTTGTTTTCATTTCTCATCGTTCTAATATTCTAGTCATCAATTTCGGAAAGTCTGTAACCTGTTAAATGTTGCATCCCAGAATTAAATGATCTTATGCTTTGCCCTCCTTTGCCTGGCTGTGATTTCTTTTTTGTTAACTTAGGGGTTGCAAACCAGCCTCATAGTTTGGTACGCACCAAATGTATGCATACGCCATATATATATATATGTATATATATATGTATATATATATATATATATATGTATATATATGTATATATATATATATTATTAATGTCCTTACCTGTTGAACAAGCGGAAAGACCCGGACATGTCTGTGTCTCACTCGCTGTTCCCTCACAGTCCCGTCCTCCATATGCAGGGCTGGGGTTGTCACATGTCCGGGTTCTGGTCATGTTTCCCTCTCCACAGGATACACTGCAGGATGACCAGTCACCCCACTCTGACCAGCCTCCATCAACTGCGATAAAGAAACAAGGATGTAGTAGTAGTAGTAAGCCTTTATCTAAACTCGAAAGCTTGTTCGGTACATACATATGACCGCTTTTCAACAAGGTGGAGGGTGAGGGCGGGGTCACGGATACTATTAGGTTGCAAACAAGTATTTTAGTAGAATATTCTTCAATCAGTGACTGATTTTGAAAGGTAGAAAGACGTACCTCCAAATTTTCGATGTCAACTGTACATCTTGATAAAAAACAGTCACTGTTAGAAGAATGCTCCACTACTTTTTTTACGTGACTGATGAACCTCTTCAACGACAAACATGTCTTTATTTTTTAGACTCAATAAGGCTGATACAAAAGGAAGCTGAACAAAATACATGTTCCAGCATGTCAAAGGATGTAGCTTTACCTGGTGCTGCTGTCCGAATGATGTTACTAGGACCTTCTCCTCCAGTCCCCCCTGTTCCTGGTCTCGTCAACACGACTGTGATGTTGTACTCTGTGTCCTGTGGAAGGCCTGACAGCTGAAACTGTTGTTGTCCAGGCGGAACGTCCACCTCCTGCCATTGTCCCGTGGGCAGCTGCTGATACCGCAAGGTTATTTTCTCAAGCGGTCCATCTCCATCGTGTGGGAGGCTGTTGATGTTTACAAGGATGAAGTCAAGGCCAACATCGGCACTGGTTGGCCCGTTCATGGGAGAGGGTGGAACTGGAAAGAAACAGATAATAAGAATATTATAGCATCAGAATGCCGTTATAAGTTTATACGTTTACATATACATATTGCTTAAGAAATGTGCATTTTTCAGCTATTCATATAATGAATAATCAACTGGAAAAAGTTTTCCGTTACCTTTCACAGCAATGGTTATAGGTTGAGAGTTGACAACCCCAGCTATGGTGGTTACGCTGCATGTATACTGGCCGTCAACATCACGGGAAGCCTCCTCGAACACAAAAGTACTGAAAACAGCGGTAGCGTTCGAAAGTGCACTAGAAGCTTGATGAACAACTCCATTGTCTGACTTTGTCAAGATGAAGTTAGTTTTGCTTGGCTCCGGGTCACCAATTGCTCCACATGTTACGATCACGCTCTGTCTAAGATTGACCTCAACATCACGAGGATTTAAAACAATGGACGGTGCCATTCCTGAAAATGAAGTAAAAAATATCATTGGGAAAGATCATGTACGATACAAATTTATACCAGGAGTTTGTGAATATTGATGTGGACTGGATGTCATATATTCTTGCGGCGCCCAACAAGGGTTGCACATATAGATACAGTGCCATCCATACAGCACCTTTTATAGGTACGACTTGGGGGTATTTCTCGTGCAATGCGTCATACCGCAGCGAAACTCAACGAATGTGGAAATAACTATGCCAGCGCAGGGCAAAAAAAGTCAGGGGTCTATGACCTGACTACCTGATATTGTGTAAAAATGCCAACAGGAAAAGGGTTAAGAGAGGCAAATTAAAACCCACTGAAATAGAATAACCATTTTACGTACCCGTGATGTTTATGAACGCAGGAAAGGTGTAGTCCTGACCGTTGTATGTGACCGAACATTCAAGCTGCAACTGGCCAAGCCGCTCAGGTGGGGTTAATGTCCACACAGCCTGCCGACCATCCCATGCATACTGTGACGTCAGAGCGACCTCGTTCCCAGGAACACTTGCTACCACCGCCTGACAGTCGTCTGTTGTCCATGGATGGCAGCTGCAGGTCACGTTAGCTGTGGTCTCGCGTACATCAGAGATGTGGACTGAGGAAGGGTCTAAGGCGATGCGAAATTCTGGAAAAACAAAATAGACTTTAATGTCACAGGTGGTGCATTGGTGTATTATAATTGCTCTTTTATAAGAATCGACATGTTCAAGACAGACTCAAGACAGACTGTGGTTTGATTAGAGTACATGCAAACTGTAGATTCACCATGAACATAATATGATACAAATGTATCGGACTTTTAATCCGTAGTTATGGCCATTTTAAAAATAAATAACCGTTTTCTTTTGAATCAGAACTCCGTACATTTTGGCTTCAGGCTCCTATTGTACTTGGTGACAGTGAGTTCCACTCTGCGATAGTTCGAGGAAAGAATGAGTTTTTCAATCCTTGGTTGATAACTCTGGTACTTGAAGGCATGGCTATTTCTTGTTCTCTTCTGGGCTGGTATTAGGTACTTGGTAGTTGGGACGTCCACCAGTTTATTAGTCATTTTGTACATCATGCATAGTCTGAACATCTTTCTTTTGTCTTCCAGTGAGGCCCACTGTAGGTTTCTTTTCATTTCCGTGACACTAGCACCTCTTTCATAGTTGTTCATACAGAATCTTGCAGCTTGATTCTGTACCCTTTCCAATTTGTCTTTGTCTTTCTTTGTATATGGATCCCATACTGTCGCGGCATATTCTAGGTTTGGTCTTACAAGTGACGTGTATGCAAGTGATTTTACTCTAGTTGGACAAGCCCACAGATTACGTTTAATCAATCCCAGTGTCTGTTTCGCCTTAATTGTGATATTATTAACATGTGCACCCCACCTCAGACCGCTTGTCACCGTGACGCCCAGAGACGGATGGATTTTTGTGTTTGCTAAAGCCTGACCACAAAACTGGTAGCTAGTTGCATGTGGTGTTGATTTGTTTGTTATGTGCATAATGTAGCATTTTTCGGGATTAAACTGCATGAACCATTTGCTTTGCCATTTTTCCAGGGTGTTCAGGTCTTTTTGGAGAAGTTGTGAGTCGGTCTGTGTAGAAAGCTCTACATACAACAGACAGTCATCGGCAAATAACCTCACATTAGAGTCAAGCTGAAATAAAAAGACTATGCCAAAGTTATGCATACTAAACTAATTGCATATTTAAAATTCTATGCCTAAGTTATGCAAACACTTACGCAAATATCCGGATACAACAATATCACAATATGTGATTATGTTATCACATACCTTGTTCAAATTGTGTTGAAAAAGATTTTGGTAAGATAACAACTCACTCTTCTCCTGACATGTTGGTCCTCTCCAGTCCCCCGTACACAGACATCCCTTGTTGACGTCACAGGTCCCTCCGTTCGCACAGTTACACTGTTTGGAACATCCTGGACCGTATTCGTTTGTATCGCAGACTGAGTAGAGGTGTACAGAAATATTTATCATTTCAAGCTGCCAAGCGTATCCCGTAGACATGGTCAAGTTTGGCCAAAGATTCACTAAGACTTACCTGTATCACAGTCGAATCCCTTGTATCCGTTGGCGCACTCACAGCCGTAAGGATCCGGCAGACAGATGAGGGACTTCTGACAGGTCCTGCCGCCGTCATTACAGGACCACTGGCACGACTGGCCGTACTGGGAGGACTGGGAACAGGCTGGAATAGCAAAACAAAAATCAAAACATGATCAAGAAAGGTGCTACGCCTTGACTAGTTTCAGTTTGTGTCCTGAAAAGTCCTCAATCTGATTCCTATATTATTATCAGACTATGTAAATTTGATGTTGTATATGTGTTTTTGTATGGGGGAGGGCAACTTGAAAAGGTGCGTACGCACCTGCACATGTTTTGCCCCCCCCTTCACTTTGTGAAAAATCAAAATAAACAAATAAATGCGTATCGTGATTCGTGTACCTAATTCACAGTTGTCCCCAGTAAACCCCGGCGGACAGATGCAGTCCCCGGTGTCGTCACACCAGCCTCCGTGGTAGCACAAACACGGAGTGGAACAACCAGGACCGGTACTGTTAGATGGACAAGCTGAAATGCAATTTTGAAAAATAGTAAAGCGATTAGTTCATATCTACAAATAAGAAATTAGACCTGCGTCATCATGTAGAATTTAGAAAATAGTTTTATAATATTGCCTCATTTTAGGGGCTATTTAGCATGCAATATTTTCATAAACGATATTGAAATGCACTTGTATAATTACACAAAACTTACCAGTGACTATTACTCTGATATAGCTACGTAACCAGGCGGACCCTCCACTGCCGACATCAATGCTGTATATTCCATCATCCTCTTGAGACGCGATCGGAAGGGCCAAGCTGTACTCCGCGTCTTGCACAGAAGCTGGCGTTGTTACCGGATTTGACCCACCAGCCTTAAGCAACCTTATTGCGCTTACTCCGCACCAGGTCGTTGTGCGCACTTTTATAGACAACGTTTCCCCCAGAGTTGCACGGTGGGTGTAGGACAACGGCTTAACGCAGGCTGAAAGGAAATATCAACATGTCACGTTATCATCTGCTCTAGTGTCCACCGTAACATAAGACATCGTTATACATAGTTCTGTTAGATGGTCTACATCATGTCAATTGGATGAAATATGTATTTGCTCATATAATGGCTTTTATTAATTAAGGTTGGCATATCACTGGTCTCAAAACACAATATTGGTTGAATATAACGTCAATACAATAATATGCTTCTGCCACATTTGGTGTTTTTCTCGTTTCTAATGTTCATGTTCATCAAATATTTGTAATAAGTTTGAACACCGAAACAAAGTCTCCCACCTGTGTTAAGAATTTTGACAGTAGACACCTTGCTGGTGACGCCGTCTTTAGTTCCACTGCAGGAGAAAACCCCGATAATGTCCTCTCTGTAGCTATTGGTGACGGAAGATGGTGGATAAACTCTTGTTGTGACCTTCCATATGCCAGATTCCCATGTAGTTCCCCTTTGTGGTGTAAAACTAGTCCCGCCTGGTGAATAGTCGACCTTGAAGAAATAGTTGGTCTGTATATTCTGCCCAACGACAGTTCCGTCAGTTATGCAGATGAAGAAAGTTTCCCCGTCCACCTCGGCGTTGGTTCCTGCCTCTAGGTGCGGGATCAGCGGGTACTGGTTCAAGAGCGCCACGTCTACTCCACCTTGAACAAGAGAAATTATACCAAAAGGAACACGATATTAGCCTATCGTCATTTTCATCGCAATCATTATATTGTACATTTACAACTGAATTCTGGACAAAACGTTTGTGTTATAGTGTGACTTAATAATATATATATTGACTTTATAACTTTGACTTGACTGCTGTGATTTCTATGTTACTTTAGACCTGTAACTACGACAATGTTGTCCCTGCTTCTTCGACTTCTCTTCTACAAAACATGCACTGAAATAATAATTCTTTACACTTGCGGCCTTACTTACATGTCGACTGAACTGTAATCTAATCTCTGCATACGAAATACGACCTACTTATCATTACGGACTGTCCATGAATGCTGAGGGGCGAAAATCAAAGATTAGGCCAAGGAATGGCTTAAAAGCATTTAAGCTTGGACCATGAGCTTGCACTCAAGGGTGCTGACACCTGTCTGTCTCTAGTCTAGAGAGAATGGAAAACACATTAGAAATGAAAGTACTACTATTTTTACGGAACACTTCCTGATCCATCCCTTATAACATTGCTCTTGCCCCCTGTCGCCCTTGATTCCGTTGGTATAATGTCACAAACACTACACAACATGAAATACATGTTTCACTGTTTTTCATCCATGTTTCGTGGATCTATTTTATATCCCATGCAATGGCCACAGCACGGAAGTATGACTTAGAATTGGAGGTAACGGTCAAGGTATGTGTGCAGGCCAAACTGCATTTGTTTGTAACGGTACATGTTTAAAACATGTTTAAATGAGCATTAACGCAAAAGCAACAAACGAAAAGGTCACACGAAACTGATCAATCATGTACATAAAGGGAATTCGATACAGTGTTGCATACAATAGAAGGCAGACTGGGGGAGGTATACATGTAACACTGCCATTTTCACCTGCCAGGTAATAATGTCGGTAACAACTCGCTTACCCAAACAGATCAGAAGGACAGTTTGTATTACAACATACCGTCACACTTCATTAGTTGTTCATACACACAGGAGTCCCCCTGAACCTCCGACGTGTCGCAAAATGAAGCAATTATTCTCACCTGTGTAGAATACGGCCGTACTAACTAGTACCGCGACAAGGAAGTATTCTGCACAGGCCGCCATCTTGGTCTCGCGGCGTTGTTTGTTAACGGTTCCAAACCTTTGCCAACGGTCTGAGGAATGTACACGTCAGTTAATCATTTACAAACATGACCACAGGTCATGAGATTATAGATAACCATATAGCACTTCAGGTGTGTAGTGGATACATTGTCCGCCCAATTGTGTAGGTGTACTTATAGTAATAAATCATCAATTCTTAGAGAGGGGACCTTAATATGAACAGCACTTTTCACTATATGTTTAGCAAAGCGAACTGAGGTAAATGAAAGAACGGGGATGAATCTGACTATTTCTAAAGGCTGACAAACAAAACAGTTCAGGAAGTTAGGCCAATCTGCAAACAGTAAAGATTTGTGTCTAGAATGTGATAGCATAGTGGCTACACTAAAAGCCTTAGAATACAACATTTTCATCTGTTCTCGCTATTATGTGTTTACCTGGTATACACTCATTCCAGCTGCAAGGTTCAGTCCCCTTGACCCATGATCAGGGATCAATATTCAGAATATTGTAGTTTTACTTTCACCATTATGAGTCCCTGTTACGTCCGCTAACCTTAGTTATACCCTGTGGACAAAGAAGCGTTTTCCCCTCTACAAATTAGCCAAAACATCAACAAATTATTCCACTGTATTGAATAACGGTTACTCCTTAATGAGTTAAAACGACCGTGGACATTGTGGACAGTTTCCATGGCATGCAGGCGTGCTATTTGCAGAGCGCAGAAATAATGTCTTTAAATGCCAACAGAGCTTGCTCAACTTCCTCTTGGAATGTAAATAAAACTTCGTTTGTTGTTCAAAGGTGTTCACGGTTCAGTGCGATCATTGCTCTGTTGCGCAGGTATAATGGAAGAATGGTTCTGTACTAACCCTTGACCCATTGCACCGACATTTACTTTGCAAGTAGATTAATACTTGAAGTACTAGCCCCCCCCCCCATCCAGCACGTTAGAAATGTGTTGTACATTTATCGATATCAATGTACGTTGGAAAATTCATGTTTGAATCACTACAAAAGCGACACCATATTGTAAATAGCTGATATATCCCCTGAATTACAGAATATAATAATACTCTTCCTAAGAAAACACAATAGATTAGCTTTAGTATCATTATGGACTAGCTCGTTAGAATTATATCTTAGTATTAGTTTATGTATGTACCATTGTTGTTTCTTTGCCATATATTGTACCAGCTACAGTTGTTGAGCAATAAAGTTGATTTTGATTTTTTATCGTGCTATGGTTGGGTGGAGGAATTCGTTATCCATGTAGCGCAAAGGCTTTGATAATAATAGAACAAAAAATAGACAGGATAGAAGTGTATTATCTAAAACAAACGATCGCCCACCTTCATATTTAGCTTGATCAGACTGTACAACATGGAATATGAAGAAGTGTTGAGTAAAAATTGTCCATGGTTGTCTTCTTTATTTTGCAAACTTAACAGGAACCTTTAAACGTGTTTTAAACCAAGTAAGATAACACGTTGATATCAATTATTTGGGTACTAGATAAAGCGTGATGTATAACTACTATGCCACGCAAGAACATTTGAAAAAATATTGGTCTATATACAAGTATTATTTGGCTCATTGGATTATAACTATTTTCCTTGAATGATGTAAAGTACTTAAGCTGGGCGACAGAGTTATGAATGATATTATGAAACATGGTGGCCATGATAAATGCAATTGATTCAAAACGTTATTAACAACCAATAATGTGATAAAAAACACAGAAACAAAACAGTGTATAGCTGAACAAAGACACCTTTAACAGCACTGAATCACACCCAAACTTTAAATGTAAATGTAAATGTAAATGTACATGTACATTATATGCTTAAGATGACAGAAAATAACATAAGAATAACTGTTAAAAAATGAACTCAAAATAATAAGTGTTATGTTAAAAAAAAATAACACCGAAAATTCCAAACCATCCCTTCCACCTCACACAGACAACACGAAGCCTTGCAAGGCATACATGTAGCATCAGAACATTTAACAAGCATATATAATGATATGAATTTTTGCAACATTGAAGCATAAACATTTTTACTTGATGTCAAAATTAGTACTCATGTTGTGAGATGGAATTCTAATTGATAATAAATGGAAGAAGGTGATAAACGTTATTATTAAAAGTACTGGTATTAACGAATGATATTATGGTAAAAAGTGACTTCACATAAACAAAAACAGTCCGACGAAACACACTTTAACAGCACAGACACATTGACATGTAGACAGAAGTCAACCTGTTCTTCCTATCCTGTGAATGCATCATCACCATCATCCATGTCATCATTGTCATCAGAGTCAATCATCGCGTACTCAAAATCGTCATTATTCTCAATGTTGACGTAGCTCTGAAACAAGACGTAAAACTCACATGAAAACCTCGCAAATTTAAAGCTTACTGGTAACAATTGAATGCTTTATTCGTGGTAAAATTCTAGGAATTTTTCCTTACGTTTCACAATCTGACATCTTAATACAAACATGTGATTTAGCTATGCTTTGTTGCATTTGTCCAATTTATGTAGTGTTGAAATTGTAGAATATCTCCGATAATAATAATCACTAGAGATGTAACATTTGCAGAGCAACTGCATCATGTTTACCTTCGAATTCACACGGTCCAGCTTCAAACTACTGCTTTGTTTATTCTAAATCACATTCATACATATGGTTCTAAATCAAACACATTCATATATATGGTGACCATGCCGCCCCTCTTGAACTCAGTTCTGCATGGCACTTGTAACCCAACACCAGTTACCATGATGACAGATGTCTGATCCTGGTCATTGACCTTATTTGTTTGAAATGGAAGAAGAAGAAGAAGAAGAGGAAGAGGAAGAAACTGAGAAAACAATATGTTTTCCTTTGGTAAACATGACGATGACCCTAAATACCCTAAACACTGATGTTTAACCAATAGAATTGTATACTCACGCTCTTGTCCTCCATCATGCCCTTCAGCTGTTCCACCAGGTCCGAGAAGGTCGGTCTGTCCTCAGGACGGCGCTGCCAGCACTGCAGCATCATCTGGTACCTGGGCAGGAACAATATTTATGTACTTTTAATGATATGTCTCTTTTTGTTATGATTGTTTGTTTCGTCATGACAGTAATTTTGCTAGATAGAAAGCAACCCATATTCATTTTATTTTTATTCATATGTCATATTCCACCATTAGAATAATATCAATCTGAACAAGGAACTATAGTAGAGATACATATAGTATATTGCATTCACGGAGAAATTGAAGGATGCAGCTATTGGGTACAGGTATATATATAGAAGGTCAAAGCAAAACGTACAAGTCTTCATCGCAGTTCCTTGGCTTTGGCAGTCTGTATCCTTCACGCAGGCTTCTCAGCAGAGTTCTCGATTTCATTCCGCTGTACGGGGTTCCTCCTGAAACAATTAACACCATCGTTATCATCATTATGATTTTGATACTATTATTATTTACAGTGTAAGGTTTTCGATACAAACATGAAAGGCATGAGTTATACGCTAACACAAAGCCAGTTAATCCTTCACACTTACCCAAAGTGACAATCTCCCATAGTAGAATTCCAAAAGACCATCTGTAGTACAGTACATGGGATGAAAGCAAATAGTTTCAGTGAAAAATAAAGTCACTATTGGTAATTTCTTTAAACAAGAAAACTCCAAAGGGCCAATGTTATTTTGTGGTTGTCGATACTACCGCTGTGAAATAATTTAATCGACAGTTCAAACCTACACGTCACTCTGGGTTGTGTAAATCCTCCTGCCCAGCGCCTCTAGCGCGGTGGAACGGAAAGGAACAGCTCTCTGTAATATAGAAAACAGTTGTCATCCACAACATATGAATGATGGCTTTGATGCTGCGCAAGACAGATTGAATGTGCAAGGCAAGTTTGTTAATTACTTAGATTTTAGGTTTCGATTCATGCCTAGGTTACCATATTGTTGTATACACTCACCTTGGATGTTTGCTCATAGATGCCTTCCCCACGTGACAGTCCGAAGTCAGCAACCTTGGCGATGAGACTGTCTGTGAGGAGAACATTTCTGGCCGCCAGGTCACGGTGGATCACCTGTCAAACAGAAAATGCACACGTATACAAAAGCACAATATACGGAGAAGATGTACACATGACTATGTTCACAATATTTGTAGCCTGGGGCCCACTGGGCCCACACTGGGATATTACTTTGGTCCCAGTTTGCTATGGGTCTGGCATCCAGGCTACAACATTTGCTGCTTTCCAAAGACTCTAACTCACTGAACAATAATCCTAGTAACATACGTCTTTAGATGACAGGTGTTCCATCCCCGTTGCCACGTCACAGGTGATACGGAGGAGCTGGACCGGTGACAGGGTGGACACGGTGCCGACAGTCTGGCGGATGTTGGCGTAAGCCGGACTTGTCGTGTCCAGAACCCGAGACGTTCTCAGGTACTTCTTCAGATCGCCATTTCCAGCCATCTCTAAAGCCATATACTGCTGACCTGAAGATTGATTATTGGTTTTATTGTTTAGTAGTACTAGTGTACTACTTTAGTCTAGTACTTTAGTCTAGTACTTAAGTCTAGTACTACTTTATTGTTTACACATTCATAATTATTTCTGGTCAAACGTGACATATCAAAAGTGACAGATCAATCTTAACTTTCATATCAAGCAAAAACTGGGAGGTTCACAAATCAGCCTTTCGTATTACCAGTGCTCACAGTATCAAGAAAATAATATGTTGGTAGAATAAAAGACCATGCTGCAGCAACCACAAACCTCTGTGCACATATTATATAAGTCTATTTTAAGATATAAATGTATCACCTTGGTAGTCACAGGTTCCCAGCAGGTTGATGATGTTGGGATGGTAGCCAACATAGCGCATGATGTCCACTTCTTGTTGAAAGTCCCGCCTGGCAGCCTCATCTGCATCTCCTTAAAAGAAAGAAAGACGTTTTCAATTGTTACACGAATGCGTTTAGCAGCCTTTCATATTTTATTACGTGAGTAGGAGTTTAGCTAACATAGTATTAGCATACATCAGGGTCAACATTTCATAATTAAACATTCCGTGTATATATCGTGACAGATTGAACTTGATTGGCATCTTCAACTTACGTTTCAGTACTTTGATTGCTGAAGGCACCCTTAGGTTGACTGTACCCTTGCGGACCTCTCCAAAGTTGCCTGTTCCAAGCAGCTTTGGGGTAAGAGAGATGTCGTCCCAAGTCAACTCGCGGATGTTAGTTAACATTATCTTCATAGGAAGAGACTGTTGTTGAAGGTGCCTAGCTGAAGTTGTCCCGCCATCAGCATCTCTTGTGGCTTCTTGCAAACTGGAGCCAGTGTGGTCTAAAATGTGAACGGAGAAACAGGTTCACTCAATTTGTTGAAGGTTTTTGACTTAGTGATGGTGTTATTTAAAATTCCAATGTAATGCTAGGTATGTTATAGGGAAGACTATCAAATTTCGTACCTGAAACGAACGATGTGTTGGAAAACCCTTCGACATCAGACATGTCTTTCCTAACGGGGTGTGGAGGTCGTTCCTGATGTCGCCTGTCAATGACAACATAGAATAAATTATCAAAATCATCTCACAATTTTTAATCTGGTCGTCGTTGAGGCTAACAACACACTCAATAAGTATGCTTAAAAGGAACTATGGAATTGGATATGTCGATGTCAATATTTATGAACAAAAAGTAATTCCTACCTTCGGATGAAGAAAATGGCGGCAACCACGATGATTACGAATACCACAGCAGATACACCCCCAGCCGCACCCGCTACCACTGACACTGGCGGACCTGAAAATGCACGGATAACAGGACACTAAGATGGAAAAATTACCGGCTCAAGTATTTTAATTCAGGTGACCTATATTTTTTTTTCTTTATTAAAACATTTAGGAGCAAAGTGGACAGGATGACGACACACTCAAGCCGGAGCTTATGTTCATGTCGCCATCTAACATTACAAAAATACAAAAGCAAATGCAAAAACAGACATGCAAAGCTTAATAATAACAGAATAGAACTAGAAAGGTAACATTTGCAAGCAAATGCAATATGTTTACCTCAGGATGGTCTTGCCTACGATTTAACGTTATACCTTTATTAGGAAAGGAAAGGTAGAAGGATAGTTTGCTTATATTACTGACTTTTATATGCTGTTTATAGAGTAACATCAACGTTATAACTGGGGAATTTGAATGTTTTTGCCGTTGTAAGGCCAAGTCTACCCGTCTGCCACTCAAAGATCATTACCATAGACTAGTCTTGTAGTGCCATGTATAGGAGATACTAGGATATATAAAGTTACATACCACAGTACCAATGATTCACTCAGCACACACTCTTACCATGTTTGCAATTAGGCCACAGCATGTAACTTTAATCAATGACATCCTCTGCAGACTGCAAGTAAACTTCGAGTCTTTTTGACAGCTTTAGTTACAAAGGACTTTGCTGCGCTCATCTCACTACCTTATTACATTTTTGTAAATAGGAAACAGGACGTAGGCTGAAATAATAATGATGATAAGTTTATTATTATTACAAATACATGACAGAAGGCTAATTGTAAATACGTATATCATACGAAATGATATACAATGATATGAAGAACTAATTCCTACAGTACACTTTAGTCTTTATACTACAGTATATAAGATATATATCAAGCCAGTTTTGTTGGGTTTTACTTGTTCTTTTGATCGCCGAGCCAGTGAATATACCCACTTCTATAATAATTGTTCTTTGAAATTTTATATGAAAATCATTGCAATGATGATGAAAATCTACAGTTGTGTAAAATATTGGAACTACACACTCTATAAAACCATACATACATACTTAAAAGCTATACATGACTTAACTGTTACATATATTATGCAAATTTAACATACATAATGAATATTTACTGGCCAAAATGGAGATATAATGTGTTTCTAGAAATGGTTGTGATGTGTTGTATCCTTCTGTGGATGGCTGGGTTCAGCTCTGTTAGGTTCCTCCCCAGTTTCTCATGGACCAAGTTCTGCTTCCTTTCCTAGCAGAGGTCCAATCTTAAGAGTCTTATGAGGATACAAACAGGAGAGTAAGCATTTCAAATGTGATCAGAAACTGATATTATCCTTATTATGTTTAGAGAGATAACTTCAGAATCACGGGATATGCATCATCGGGATACGGAATTTTTCGGGATAGGCGTCCCGAAAAATCCCGCGAGATATCCGCGTGTGGTGCGAGATCTCCAAGTCTACCGCGGGTCCTGTCACCGATGGCGGCGTGCCAAATGTTTATTTTTACGTCCTGTCGGGCGATCTGGGCAGGGCCAATAGAGCACCCTGACGTCAGTCAACTTTGCCAAAATTTTTATTCACCGATAGCACAGGAGTGTATATTGTGTATGACGCGTTCCTCACGCGGTAATAGGTGAACTGCTACATTTTTACAAAGCTATTGTGCAGCGAAAAACTCACGAAAACTGTAAGAAAATAGCAGGAATGAATTTTTAATAACCCCTTCGTCTCCGGTGAGTTTCGGCAAGTTTATAAACCTTCAAATAAAATGGGGCGTACCGGCTGTAGTAGTAGTTGTATTTCATTGTGACATCTTGTACTAAACTGGCTTGTTGAGGTCTACTCATCTTCTCATAAGCAGACTGCGTCAAGTAGTCTCTGTATTACGAAAATTAGGAACGTTTGCACATCAAAATCCCGCGGCAAGCGTCTCACCCCTCACATGCAAACACGTACACATAAAATAAATAAACCCTTGCATCAACAATCAACGATCCGACCACGTCCATTGACGTACGTATTACCCTGAAAGCAAGTACTTCCACGCGGCTGGCAAAAAATCTTCCGGTGGAAAAA